TCTGAGAAATTAACACAATTTATCTATTAACAATAAATTGGTACTTTTTAACAATAACCAGTTACAGTCAAACATTGTCAGACAATATGTGTCAGACAATACGCCAAAGTGATTTGCACATATGCCATAACTATAGCTTATCTTACTCACAGCCACATTATGTGACTATGAAACAGGTTTCCAACAGGTTAAACATAATTTACCCTAAGCTGAAAATACTGTTTAAATGTTCAGTGAAGACTGAATCAACCCAAGTAAAGTGAAGACTGTGACTCAACCTGTGCGCTTAATCAAAATATTATCCTTCTACATTACAGATAAGACTCTACAAACATTTAAATAGGCTGGGGATGGAGCTCAGTGCCACCGCGCCTGTCTCACAAGCGCAAGTTCCTGAGTTCGATCCCCAGCACTAAAAAGACAAAAAAAAGAAAAACCCATTTAAATATTTTATACAATCATAATTAAATCATACACTATTCAGAACAGATCAATATTAACCAGTTTTAAGAGTGGAACCTAAGTTTTAATGGAAGAACCATCAAAAATTTACTGTAAGAAGCCTATTAATGATTCTGAAAATTACTGCCATTTCAGATGTAAGGTTCTATTGTTACGGCCAGAGATAAAGAAATCTAGTTGCATGAGCTATATTTCAAATAAAGCCCTTCTTATTAGGATGTAAACCAATTATAAAATCAATCATGACTGATTAAAGAGGTGGTACTAAGTTTCAGAGGATCAACTAAATCCACTCTGCCTTTCATTTAGCCATACCAAAATTAAACATAAGGGAGGTACAAGGGCTAGAATCACAAAAGAATATAAATGTCTTTAATATAAATGTTTTTTGCTAAAGAAAATATTACTGATATAAATATTTAGTTCTGTCAAGAGTTCTGTCAATATTACCTACATTCCAATTTCTAATTCCATGCTAGAATTAGCTTATTTATGGCCATAATTCAAAAGCAAGAAAACAATGTAAGACTAATTCTCACCAATGAGAGCTGTGAAAAGATTTCTCGGTACCACAGTTCAAACATGTCTAGCTCAATTCAACTTAAAATCTTATCATTCTAGAGTAGATTTTTACTAAAAGGCAAATGTCTTTTGAGTCTGTATTACACAGCTAGTAAAGACAAGAAAACTTACTAAGTGTCAAATTTTAAAATAATTTTAAATCAAGCCTTAAAAGTGCATCTACCTTATGATGTCCATTGCCTGGTAAAGTATTTCGGACTGATCAACTCCAAGAACTTTTCTTGCCCCAGCTTTAGCAGCAAACATAGAGAGAATTCCAGTTCCACACCCAACATCCAAAACTACCTGGTGTAAGTGAAAAATCAGATGTGAGTGCAAAGTTCTTCTATTTCAAATCCTAGTCATACATTATAGTGTTTCTGGCTAAGATTATAATAAAAATCATCAAATTTATTGGTCAAACATAATTTATACTTAAGTATAACTTATACTTAAGATATTATTACTAAGTGTTGTTTTAAATTAGCAACAGTATAGTTGAGCCCAACAATACTAAATTTAAGAGATGCTGTATATGAAACAAGTAATTTCTATAAACTGCCTAATTGGGAATTACTGTTTTAAGTATCTTTGTTGTCCATATGCCTAATTTAGGCTCAGTAACTAAATTTTAACAGACACTAAACTCAAGTTTAAGTAGAAGGAATTAAGTAAAATTGTCTGATATAATACAATTTTAAAACATTTATAAAGGAACCAGGATTAGAAAGTAATCATATCCCTTCCATCCTCCAAAGTAAATATTTGACTCATTTTAACAGTATAGGCACAATAAAAATAAGATAGCCTTACTAGATATTAAAATCCAAAAATGGATGGGCCGGGGATTTAGCTCAGTGGTTTCGCCACCTGCTGCACAAGTGCAAGGACCCAAGTTCGATCCCCAGTACCGAAAAAAAAAAAAAAAATCCAAAAATGGAGCCAAATGTACACAGACATTTTCATGAAGGTTAAGGGCACATATCAAATTACTGCGCACTCACACCTTATTTCATCCTCATTTTCCAAATGAGGAAAGTGAGCCTCAGAGGGTCACATTGATCCTCTTCTAGAGCCTGTACTTTAATACATTTTTAATTGTATTTTTATTATTACATGTAGCTCAGAATTCACTGATAATGAGATAAACTAAAACTTGCTAGAGCCAAAGAACAGCTAGAAATAACAGAATAAACTAGTATCACTTTATAAAATGATTTACTTTTTGCTACAAAAAAGAAAAAAAGTGAATCAATTACAACTGTAGATAATAATCAGAAGCATAAAGACAGCTACTTTCCCCGGGACCAAACGAAAAAAAAAAGAAGACAGTTACCTGAGAATTTCAATGGACTACAAATAGATATTAAAGGTGGTAACAAGATCAAAAGTCACCCAAAGTTAAATTAATCTAAGATACCACATGGCCTCCACAGGAGTTTGTGAACTGAAACAGTATTAGGGAAGAAAGGAACAAAGAGGCAAGGAGAGAGGGATGGAGGGGAAGGGAAGGAAGAAAAAATTTTAAATTATAAGCATTCTTGAAAAACAAGGCTCTCCTACATACTACAGAACGTGATATAGAACCTGGTATTGTAACTGGAAGTCTGTTTATCTCACTGTGATAAATGCAAAGAGAAAAAATGGTAATACAATTTAGAAAACTATTTCATTATTTCAGAGATTTTTTTCCAAACAATTTTACGACCACATCCTGTTAACAGCAAACAAATCATGATCTAAACATGGAAAACTAGTGTGAATTAGTATTTAATGAATGCGCCCACCAGAATCACTCACTCATTGGAAGCGAACACACTGGTAGTCGCTGTGTGGTGACGCAGGGTCAGTGACACTAACCAGAGTGAAAGGCCAGGTTTCCTTTCTTTCTGTTGTGTGTTTCGATGAAGTCAATTAATCTACTGGTTTACACTTTAAATTCAAAGCAAATGTAAAACGGAGATAAATACCTCCTAGTTATATCATACAGTGATAATGAGACAACATGTTCAGAAATAATCTGTAAGTTCTCAAATGTTAAACATATGACATTGTACTTTCTAAATCTATGGCCACAGTATCAGTCTCTCAAATAATTTGAATATATGACAGCTCTAGATTAATGTTGATTAATTACCGAAAATTGTGTCCTAAGTATGCTTTTCTGAAGTTAAAAATTGTTATGTATATTTTTTACATTACAGTGTATTCTGAAAAACCACAGATGCCAAGTAAAATCCATTACATACTGAAAAAGTCAAATGCAAGCATGTTAGGCAAAGCACCAAAACAAAATACTCTCAATTTAATAACAAGCCCCTTTGGACTTTGGCAGCTTTCATTTCTTAATAAAAGAAGTACACAGAGCACAACAAAATATTCATACATTGTTTTTCATGGTAACTTGAGAATGTATAACATATACAACATTTTTATAATGCTACTACTATAATATACTAGAAACAAGGTAATTGTGTATAGGTCTAAGTGCACCGTAAGAACTGCTCCATATTTATACAAATATTCACAAATAATTTCTTGATGATTAAATCATACATTTTCAGAATATGTCTGAAACATGTTTCAGTATTTTCCTCTCTAGTATAAGTCTATTCAAACTACACTGAAGGAAAAAAACTTACATTCTTAAATTTCTATGATAGTCATATCATAAAGTATTAAGAGAAGATGGCTCAAAGACAATGAGGGTGCTTTACAGTAACAAAAATCATGGCACTGTAGAGCAGAAGGGATTTAAAGTCTTTACAGACAGGCCCAAAGAGATTCACTGCTGTCGCTTGCCCAAAACTCTACAGCTGACTCCTAACAAGCAAGATTAGTGGCTGCCAGAAAAGGGCTTATTTTCTATACACTTTATTATAAAGAAAGAGTTTAAAAACCTTGAAAAATGCTTAGTCTCCATTCCAGTAACATATAATAGAGCATCATGCTATCAATTTAGAATACTTCTCTCTGATTAAAGCTGCAAGTGAAATACTGCTCTTAGGAAAAAGGTACAGAAAATGAGAAGCCATTACAGATTTAATCCCAAACAATAGAAAAATTAGGAAAAGCAGATCCCTAAAGAAAACATTTTACTCACTTCTGTAACAGCATGCAATAATCTGACAGGAGCTTTTAAAATGTAGGTGGGAGAAGCATGGTAAAAATCTGGTATGTTCTCAATTCACATATTCTTGAAGTGAAGAGTGGGGGAAACTCTCAAGCAAAAGTATACAAATGGCAGAGATCATAATTCTTGTCTAAATCGGTAGATTAATTTATAGTAAGAAGGAACAACCAGAAAACCTGAACTTTTAGTAACCATGCAGTGGAGAGAGACAGGGAAAGAGGAACAGATGGGAGGAGGGAAGAAGAAAGAATGAAAAAAACTCCTAAGGGAGGAAGAACAAATAATAAATTTCGAACACAGACACCCAGAATATACTGTCACCTTTGAAATAAACAGTATTAAAACTGTATAATACATCTCACAAAGGGGTAAATAAGGCATAAGAAAGCATATAAAATACACTTTACTACATATTTAACCCCATTCATTAGCCTCTCAGAATTAATTATAATTATTTTTAACTACCTAATACAAACTAGAATAATAATTAGTGTGCTTTGATATGGAGCATATCTGATACACTTGAAATTCACAGGAATCACTATAAATCAGAAATATGGTTTAGGCAAAATTATTTGGATAAGCAAAGTTCAAACTATGTCACCGTAATTAATGACTTTCAATTTAAAAAGAGATGACATTGAATGACAGCACCAGTCTGCATTTCTGTTATCAGCATGCTGCACCACAGAGCAGCATCGTAAAAGTCTTCCATGAAATAAAACCGGGCTCTACTAAATCAACTGTCACCACCATGGGGATAGTAGAGAGGATTTCTATTACACACGAACACCATGTGACGTACACTTCTGTAACCTAGGCTGCTCACCTTGTCTTTGAAGATATGTGGGTTTTGGTATATGAAATCTCTGTAGCTTTCTGTCCGTACTTTGTCCTAGGGTGAAGAGAAGAAAATACCAGCTTACAGGACAGCCTAAACAAGTTAAAAATGTTTAGGATGATGTTTGCTACTTTATCACACACTGTTAGTTTCTACAGTCTACAAGTTACTTTTTGCCTGGAAAAACCAATCTTGTACATATATTTATTTTCCTAAAAGAAAACAAAGGATAGATAGAAATAGCAACAACACACAAAGAAAACATTTATTTAAAAATAAACACAGAAAGTTGAATAAGATCTACTCATGTTCTTTAAAAATGTACACATTTTTCTCTTTACATGCACTATCCTTGTGACTTCAAGTGATAATTAAAGCTAACTGAAAAGGCTTTCCTCCTTCACATAAGGACTAGAACATAGAGCATGACACCCTGCACAAGAGCTACAAGAGAATGGGGGAGAAAAGAAATAAAAGAGCTCAATGTACAAGGTGCAGGTACACATGTGAAATGAAGCCACACTGAAGATGTTTTCAGGCAGCATCTATGTAATTTACAATCCTACTGTCTCGAGAAATGTTTGTAGTGGGAAATGATGCTTAAAAGCCTACAAGCCTAAAAGTAAAGCATCTGGACCCTGCAGTCAACCCTGAGACTCCTTCTCTCCCAAGTCTCACATGATCTGTGACCAAGGAGGGAAGGCAACTTTCTAACATTTACGCTGGTTCATGAACCAAGCTGCTTCCATAGGCTGAGACACACGCAGACTGCAAATCAGCCAATTAAGGGCTGTGCCACCAGGTAAGTAAAATGTGAGTCTAAGAAAAGTAAGTATCACAAAATAAGAATTCTAGTTTAGGGCTGTGCAAAACTCAGAAAAAACAAAATACAGTTGAGCCACTGTAAATGTGCAACTTCAGTTTGTGGATTCAACTAACCTCTGGTAGTAAACTTTTTAAAACTGCATCTGTGTTCAATACACATGCTTTCTCTGGGCCATTATTCCCTAAAGAGTATAATATAATGACTATTTATGTACCATTTACACTGAATTATGTATACAAGTAATCTCCAAATGATTTAAAGTTTACAGCAGGATGTGTTTAGGTCTTATGCAAATCTGACGCCACCTTCCATATGGGACTCTGCACCTGCAGGCTCTGGTGTCAACTGTTGCATAACAAATGCTACAACATCAAAAGATTACACAACCACACAAACATTTGCATGACAATCTCAATTTGTATTGAGATTCTTTTTTAAAGAACATAAAGCGGATCTTAAGATAAAAGGTAAGTTGTTTTATTTATTAGGGCAAAAAAGGGAAATAACCATAATTAATTCCAGACTTTCTTCTTTTTATTTGTAATTGCTTTATCAAAAAATAAAATCTTTTAAATCAGGCTTATTAAATCTTCCCTTTTAACTTTTAATAAGGTACTTTAAGAATTACTAGGAGAATCTAACGTTTAAAAAAATGCACTATATTACCTATCTACATTTTGTTTGTTTGTTTTTTGGTACCGGGGATTGAACTCGGGTCCCCACGCTTGTGCAGCAGGCGGCGAAACCACTGAGCTAAATCCCCGGCCCCTAACTATCTACATTTAAAATGGGCCCTTTCAAAGCATATCATCTTATGCACTTGCACTGGCCTTCCGCTTCTCACACCGTCCCACCATCCCCAGTGACTTCTGCTGAAACAGGATCTGCAGAGGGTGTGCATCGTCAGGGAGGCAGTCCCTGGGAAGCCCTCACCACCACCCAGTGCACTGCCCCACTCCATCAACAGTGTCCCAGATGCTGGCCCAACCCCGCCTCACTGCGACCCCTCATGCAGGCTGCTGCCACAGTCATCTATCTGTTCTTGCTCATACGCTCACCCCGGTGTAGTGAAATCTGCAGTATGCCCCACAGCACCTCGGACCAAGAAGAGCTTCAATTTAGTAACTGATACTTTGAAGAAAAAAAAAATTCACTTAATGTGAAAATGCAAGAAATTAAAAATCAGCCTTCATAGCCATTTCTAAAAGCTTATTCTAACAAACGACTCACATTAATACAAAATAACAAAGTACTCTTTTGCACCCACCTATTAAAACCCAGAAACACTGGGGCAGGGGATTTAGCTCAGGGGTGCCGCCACCTGCCTCGCAAGCACAAGGTCTTAAGTTCGATCCTCAGTACCAAAAAGACCCAAGAAACACTGAAGAACCAAATTAGAGCTCCTACATTTAAGGACAAGATACTATTTTAAGTACTTGCCTAAAATCCCAGCACTTGGGAGGCTGAGGTGGGAGGATCACAAGTTCAAAGTCAGTCTAGCCTTCAAAACAAGTCTGACTCCAGTCTGGACTACACACTGAGACCACGCCTCAAAAAGCCAAAAACTAAAACCCCAAAGACAAACAAAAAAGACAATTATTTTAAGGTGTGTAAAGTGTCATGGGATCATTCCTATCAATACAAAAAAGTTCACAATGAGGCTAAAGACAACAGAAAATTTATATACTATATAAACTTTACACAAAAACACCAGTAAATTAATTTATAGGCTCATGGAGGTAGACAGTTGGGTACAAATACAACGAGGAGACTGTAGTAAAGAAAACAACTAACATTTCAAATTAAGAAATAACACCATAGTCTGTGATATATGCACACCCAGAATAAATACCTCCCTTGGAAACAATAACAGACAGTAATGAATTTCAACTTTATTAGTCAACAACTCTTCTTCAAAAAGATAAAGCGGCAAGGGATTTTGAAAGATCATGTAATCTTTCCCCCATCATCTCTAGAATTCAAGAGTTCCTTCTTATCTCAACTCCAGAAATAAAATCACAAAATACTTCAAAATTATAATCAAAAAGTCTGTCCAAATCTATTAAAATATCTGAGACTAAGTAACAAAAAATCCAAACTGCATTCTGTAAAAGCAAGGCCAATTCTAAACATAAAAATAAAGCCATCAATAAGCCTATACAGTATTAAAGTACTTAGAGAACTAGGTAAGACTGTGGTAGTAAGAAAACCTTCAACTGTTTATTTGGACTAAGAATTGTCCTGGTAAGAAACAAAAGAAATACAGGCTGATATAAGACACACTTCATAGTCTTCCACAGTGCCTAACTTAGCAAAATATGAAATGGATAAACAGTTCTTTTTGAATTAAGTTCACCCACATTTCCTATGAACACGTAATCAAGTCATCACCAAGAGGTAATGATGTATGACAGCTAGGGGAAACTAGGGCATGAAGAACATTAACAGACACAGTGGACCCTTGACTTACCAACTCAATTCGTTGGCGAGGGCTGGTTGTAACTCAAGTTGGTCAACTGAAGGCTCAGGCTCCTTACACAGCCTTCAAAGTCTCTCTCCTGTATCCAGGCAGATCTCAGTGTCCTTACAGAGACACTGGCCCATGATTTCTCAATTAACCCCACACTGGAAAGGAGGTTGTAATGTCCCTTCCAGAACTCTTTAAGGGTTACATCTGCATCTGAGACGATTTGGTAGCAAAGTGGCCTGCATTTGGGTCATAACTCAAGACTTTGTTTGTAAGTTAAAACTAAAATTCCAGTCATAACCCAAGTTATTCATGTGTCAGGCCAGTCCTAACTCGAAGGTCCACTGTACTTAAGTGATTGATTCTTTGAAAAAAAAAAAGCTGGCATTCGAGCTTTTGAGCTGGAACTTCTTAAATCTAAATGTACATCAGAAGGCCTGAAAAGATACAGCCAGATGTAAAGATCCTTCAGTTACTGACAGAACTGTAAGTGTCCAGGACAGAGATCTGTAAGTGTGCAAACAAATTTCCCCGATGATCGTACTGACAACACCCATCCTACAGGTGTCTCCACAACATTTACCGGTCTGAAAAGCCAACACAAGTGTCATACCGAAAGTATTCAAGTTTCATGATATTTAAGTTAAGGGAGTGATTTAAAATGACAGACAAGGACTTAAGACTAAATTCTTTAAAGAAAATATTTCAGACATAATTAACTTGAACAAAGAAAATAAAACCTATTTCTTTTTAAACAAACTCAGTCAAGTTTAAAAAAATTTACCTCCATGCTATTTGTAATGCTATTTTATTACCAAGGGACAAACAGAAAGCACAGCTGTGACATGTAGTTGGTACTGACATCACACTGCTTTAAAAGATTCCACATAATTAGTCATTATCAATCAGAAAACTTCCACCCTGTGATCCTGGAAACTCAACAAAATATATACACATTTTTAAATACCCTTGGTTTGTAAAAATTTCTATGTCAAGGAACCTAGTCTTAGGTGGTTCATTAAATAAAATCCTTGGAGGAAGGATCTAGGAAGGAATTATTGCTGATTGGCTTTAAGAAAACATACTGGTGACATCTAAAATTCCCAGAGATAAATATCTAAAAGTTTTAGTTATTTTTACAATCCAACATTTATGTTATGTTAGATATTTTCAGTTTTTCTGAACTACAAAACTTGCTATTTTACCTATAAATAGGTTGATAAGATGTATAATTATCAACTACAGCTACATATCAACTTCTATTTTACATGGACATATCACTATGAAAATTGTAACCAACGAAAATAACTGATGACCAACTTAGGAAATATTTCTATATACCAATTATTTCAAGTGTAAAAGTCATGTCATAACAAATGTGAGATTTATAAAGTTTATACCAAAACTTATTTACCCAAACTAAGTCAGTATTGACATTTAAAACACTAAAATTAATCATTTCACTTTAAAAAATATGCATAACTTAGTTATTCCCATTTAATGTAAGAGTTGCTCTTGAAAAGACTAAAATCATCAGTTTCTTCCAATGTTCTATTCTGAACAAAAAGGAAATTCCTAAGAACGATTCATGATGATCTTAAATAGAATTTTAGACAACTTTGGTGCTTCTGTAATCTTTCACTGCAAGATGAGGTACTCAGCACCAGAGATTTAACAGGCAGTCTAAAAAAATTAAAAAGCAGCAGCAGTTCTCACATATTAAAAAACAAGCCTGTCCCATTCTATTTTTCCTTTAGCCTGCATTTGGTACATTTGTACTCGTCTGACCTTCAGCATCTCTTCATGTATCCCATAATGCCCGTATGAGCTGAAATAAACGCCATCCTCATCCTCCTGCAGGTCTGCAATGGCAGTAGATGACGAGCAGGTTCTGACATCTGCATTCATCACAAAATCCTGAGCAAATTGTCTGTAATCAATGTGAAATACACCCCTGAGACAGGTTTATTGGACCATGGAAAAAGAAAGGCTAGAGGTTGAGGAAGAGGAACAGGAAGGTCATGGAGTGGAGAATGATGAGCCTTTTTACATTGCTCTTCCCATCAGCAGCCAAAAGCTCCCTCTGCTGGAGCTTAAGTGTGGCAAATCCTAATCTGGCCATGCGCCCTCCCCTTGGCAAACTGCAAAAGCCATGCCAGCTGCGAATTACAGCTCTTTATAGCTTTCAACTGAACAAAATAACTACACTCCCTTTATTCAAATTCATCATTTCTATGGTTCTAAAATCGTTTCTACCATCTGAATCAATGTAGTACATTTCATTTCTCTTAATATTCTTTAAAATTATATTATCTGTTGGCCGGGGATTTAGCTCAGTGGTTCCACCGCCTGCCTTGCAAGCAGAAGGATCCGAGTTCGATCCCTGGTACCAAAAAAACAAACAAACAGACAAAAAAACAAAACTATTATCTGTTGGGAGAATTAAATGAATAGAAAGTAGGCCCTTATACACACTGACACCACCCATTATGACTCTAAAACTCAGTCTGAGCACGACACATTAATAATCTATAAGGCAGGTATGCAAGGTGAGAACATCCAAAAATTTTAGTAATTTTCACAAACCAACATTATCTTGTTAGATATTTCCAGTTTTTCTGAATTAAAAATCTTGCTGTTTTAATCTATAATACTTAATAAAATGTATAATTACCAAGTACAGCTACAAATCAACTTCTATTTTATATGGACAGAAGATGTTGGCTGCTAGGCTCCCAACCATAAAAATTCAAAAACAAATGAGGATCTAAAACTGACTGTACTGGCTTTCATACAGGACACAAAACTGGCAAACCATCTAATGGGTATTCAGGCAATGGTGACAATCTTCCAAATCCAAAAAGGAAAGTTGTGAGTATACCTGTTAGAAATGCACAGAATTTCCAGCCCCACTTGCCTCTCCTGAATCAGAACCTATGCTGTATAACAAGAGCCCCAGGTGATCTGTACGCAGATCACTTATACTTAGAGGCGTTAAACCAGTGAAATGCTAACTTACTCGCTGGAAAAAACTGCCACCCCTCCCCACCCCTGCTATATTTGGTTTTCTGGTTAATACTGTATCACTGTTACATTCTGATTTTTAGAAAACAAAAATTTCAACACTGTATTTTCCCAAACCTAAAAAATATTAATCCATTTTTCTATACCACTTTTAAAAAACTGGTATAGAAAAAAAAAAAACTGGTCCTGAAAAAGTAAAATGGAGAGACCAACTCCAAACAGGACAATTAAAAGGAAAAGAAGACAATTCCAAAGCAAAAAATATTCAAGAAGACATCTGTCAGAATAATCACCTCTAGTACAGAAGTAATTATGAAGTATATATAGGTAAAACTATTAAACTTCGTATTAATCAGGTACAGCTATGCTGTAAATCTTTAATACTACTACACATCTACACTGATTTCTAGAATATGAAATGTTCTATATTCTACCTTGCCATTAGCTGTGTTATTTGGGGGATCTAAACAGTGTTCTTGAAGATTGATAAATTACCTCATTCTCTGCAGCTCCTCGCGTGCTCCGGCTAACGCAGCTTCAGCAGACAGTGCCCTGGCTTCCATATGCTTCAATCTTTCAACAACAGAAGTATTTTCACTGAGCCCATTGGGGTATGAGAATGGGACTGACACTGGTTCATAAAGATCTTCTACATCTAAAGAAATAAATGGACATTATCGTCAGGTCATCTTCCAGCAATGAAATGAGTATAAACACATCAGGAATATACCCTGAATCCCTATTATGTGGCCAACTGAAAAACACTGGTGAAAGTACTTCTAAATATTTAACATCCAAATTGTTTCATTTTGAATTCAAAGAATATGCTATCTGCTTAAGTTCTTCATTAAGTTAGCTAACTTAAACATGTGTATGTATTGATTATATTGAACCAAACACAAAAAGAAAAAACCTCATCTTACTGATTATCAGGCAGTTTTCAGGTGCACATGCATTATATCTCATTTCACCCTCAGAACAAACCTAAGGTCCACCCAGCAACTGGAGTCCTTATCTGCAGCACACCAGGAGGCAATCAGACTTTCCCCAAGGGAAATCCTGCCATTGGTGACAACATGGGTGAACCTGGAGGACACTGTTAGGTGAAATAAACCAGACAGGGTAGGAGAAATATGCATGGTCGCAGTTATGTGTGGAATCTAAAACAGAAGTAGAGTACAGAGGACTCTGCAGTGGCTGAGGGTTAGAAATGGCACGGGAAGTTGGTCAAATGGCACACACTTATTTATAAGGTGAGTACCTCCTGGGCATCTCAGGTACTGGACAATGACTGCAGTTCATGCTGCAGTGTACAGTGGAAACTTGCAAAGATGTGCACTGACGAATGTGTTAATTAGCTTGACTGTAGTAATAATTTCACAATGTATACCAAATCGTAGTACTGTACACTTGAAGTGAATACAACTTTTATGTATCGATTCTGCCTTAATAAAGCTAGAGAAAAAAGATAATCCTTAAGAACAGTGTGTAAATACAGAATTCTATGAATTCAAGAGCTTTCTCATGCTGGGCAAGGTACACTCCAGGTCCACTTAGAGGTCTAACTAACTTTCAGATCAAACTTAAACCAATAAAGAATACAAATTATATTTTCTCCTCTGAATGGCACTCAAAGAAAATATTTTCTTATCCCATTCAGTTTTTAGTTGTGACACTTCTGAAGTCACTTCTTCAGAGTTGGAACAAAACAGCCAAGCTTAAGAAATACACAGTATTACTATAACTAAAAGACCAAAGCCTAACCCGAACTCCTTTTACAACAACAGTGCAGTATGTCCCTAAGCTCCACTCTGACAGGAGACTGAGTCACTGTATTAGAAACTGGAGGTTTGTGCAGGATGGGGGTCTATGCCTGCAATCCCAGCCCTCTGAGAGGCTGAGGCTGAGGCATGAAGATTGAAAGTTCACGTCCAACCAGGGCAACTTATAGCAAGGCCCTGTCTCAAAATGAACAACAGTTTGGGGTTATAGCTCAGTGCAAGGACCTAGGGCCAACCTGCAGTCTAACCCCCCCCAAAGAACCTAGAGTCATTCACTATTTGATTTACCAAAAATGAGTGAGCACAACTAAATATTTCCAAAGTCTTTAAGGCTGGTATGCCATGTTTGCTACTTTCTCCTACAATTCTTTCTTTGTATTTTGTCTTCAAAATTCTTCAAACTGTTTCATAAGTTTCTGTATTGCCTTTTGGTGCATTAAAAATTAGTCATAATGATAACTTTAATAATATGGAAATAATCATTGATTAGAAGTGAAGCTCATACATGTGAAAAGAGGAAGGATTCAATAAACACGAAGAATAACACATTATAGACAGTCTCTTGGCCTGTGCCTCTTTAGCATTACATTCTAGAAATCATTCTGCATCAGTCCACAGAAATACTGGCTCTTTTTAAGAGGTGTATACTTCTCCGTGTTATGAACGTACCACAGTTTATTCAACCAGTCTCTTGTTCTGGGCATTTAGGTCATTTCTGATATTTGGAAATCACAATGCTGTAATAAAACTTTGTAAGTATTTTCAGAACCAGGAGGTGCATCTTCAGTCTTTAAGACAGATTCTTCATCGTGAGATTCTTAAGAGTAAGAAGTACGGGCCAGGGATTTACGTCAGTGGCACCGCACCTGCCTCGCAAGCGCAAGGTCCTCAGTCCTCAGTTTGATTCCCAGTACTGGGGTGCCTGTGCATGTGTGTGTGTGTGCGTGTGTGTGTGTGTTGGTGGGTCTGAGTATGAGCTCAGGGGTGGAGCCTTGCCTAGGATGTGTGAGGCCCTGGGTTTGAACCCCAGCACAAGAAAGACAGACAAGAAACTGATGAAGTTTACCTTAAAACCCTAGCTAAGTAGCATATGCTGGGTTTCTCCATAGCAGTTACCTCCTCTCTCTTACACTACACATTCATGTCCTATTTTCTTAGTCACCTCCTTTACTAAGTCAGGCATCTCTATAACCTCAAAGCTAAATATTTAGCAGATGCTAAATACTGAAACCACATGGAGGGTAAAATGGTAAGTAATCATGCCTGGAGTCAGGAAAATGTCAATTTACTAATCCATCTCTCTCAGCCAGTGGCCAGCAACACAGATTATGAGAGAAGACAGGCAACACATGTAAGGCCAGGCCCAGTTCAAGCTTTACTTAATACGGCTCCTCAAAGGTTCTAGACCTTAGTCATGATGTCCACGGGCTGACTCCTGCAGGACTTCTGTAACATTATTTACTCCTAACCACACATTCTTCTTTACTAAGCACATACCCTGTGGCAAGTACCATAATAATGTGTTATTTTTCCAACAATCTTTTAACATGGCTATCATTATTACCTTTTAACAGATTAAAATGAAAGCTAGAAGAAATGAAGTTCATATACCTTTAGAGAGTTAAGCGTTCCATCCTAATCTGTATCCAGTTACCAACATAGCACCTTCAAATCTGTCACTGATCTGAATAACTTCTCCTGCAGTACCTTTTCTACTTTTCATTAAATTTATCATATTCTACTTCATATTAAAATACAGGACATTTTAAAAAACACCTACATATTGGACTGGGCACTCCTGATGAGAGGACTATGACTTTCGCTTCTGAGCTCACTAGGCATTTAATACACTACCTTCATTTAGTGAGTGCTCAGTATAGGATTTTGAGTTTAGGAAGTCATGAAGAACACCTTTGGGGCACTTTGTCATTTATCAAAGAGACTGATTTGGTCATTCTGAGAAATGAGGTTAAAGAAAAAGTTGTCAAGAGCGTTAAGAATGAAGGTAGGAATCAAATTTTAGAACTAGAATCAAGTCTCAGAAATCTGGCCCTAAAACTTTACTCTTTAAGTAAAAAGACAAAACAGAAAGCTTACGTGTTTTGTCCCAGTCCCAGTTCATAAAACCTTAAGCTTCTCACATTAAACTACTCACTGCCTCATCACAATACCACAAAACTCAAGGATGATACTTCTCAAGGAATTGAGAGCTAATGGAGTTACTGCTCAAATAGAAATTGTCAAAACTATTACCTGATAGCATATGTCTGTTTATAACAGTCTTGCTGATTTGAAGACAGCAAACCTTCCATCTCCCCTGACTGGCACAAGACGCATGAAACAAAGTAAGAGTAGGATACAGAAGAAAAGCCAGGTATGGAGGGGCACACCCGTGTTCCCAGCACTTGTGAGGCCAATGAAGGAGTAATGCAAGTTCAAGGCTGGCCTGGACTACATAGTAAGACCTTGTCTCAAAAGAAAATGAAGAAAAAAGAAAAAGAAATTTCACTTCTATAGATTAGATATATAAAGTATGAGATCAAGAAAATTTTCACAAGACTTCTATGCAATAGGGAAAAAACCAAAGCACAGAGAAAATAACTAAAGAAAGCCATGGTCAAGAAATGAACAAGACTTTGCCATAAGGGAAGCTTCAGAGTCAGTGAATGAGGATAAGCTCATGAAAATTTGAGTGGAATCTGTCGTGTATCAAAACAAAATCTTAGGAAATCAGACATGTTAAGTCAATTGTGTGATTTGAATATTTGAGACAGAAGCAGTAAAACTTATTCAGTCCATTTTCAAGTCACTGTCTAATAATTAAAAATTATTCTCTCAAGTATCCCTAGGTTTCAAAATGTTCAAACAAGCTCTTTTTTTTGGTACTGGGGATTGAACTTAGGACCTTGTGCTTGCGAGGCAGGCGCCGGAACCACTAAGCTAAATCCCCGGCCCCAAACAAGCTCTTAAGTCTAAATTCCTCCTTGAAATGGTTACTGTAACTGGCAGCTTTTAAGTGAGGTCTTAAGAGAATTGCAAAGCTGGTCCCTCCTTAACCATGGAGGGGAGGTTCTATGACCCCCACTGACTCCTGATATTATGGACAGTACTCAATCTTTTGAAATACACCAAATGGATTGAGTTTGTAATTAAAAAATTTTCCCCCGTCAGTCATTGTCTTATATGCTTAGCATAGGTTTGCAACTCAGTGGTGTTTGGTGTTCCTAGAACCCAGCTGAAAATCTTACACACAGAGGAAATATTAGGGGTGGTGCTACAAGACAGATGCCTGGGGGATAACTGGCATCCTCTTTCAGGTTATGAGGATCCAGGCCTGCTTCATTAAGAAGCTGGGGGTGGGTGGGGGTGGGGAAGAACACTTACCAACATGGGGACCAGCTAGGGAAATCCCCTTATTTCTGTTTTGCATATGAGGAACCCTATAGCAACCGGCTGAGGCTCTCTAGTTTAATAAAGATCATACAAGGAGTCTTATGAAGACTGTTTTAGTAAGTGTTAATAGGGATTTTATCAACTTATTTTTGTTACAGATTCCAAGTTTTAAAATGTTTAGGTAATTTTTTTCACCTTCCCCAAAATCCTAATACTTGTAGATTACATTAATGTTGAACAAATGCTTTCTCATGTCTTAATCTTTGTATATGCATTCTTTTCAGATGTATTAAACAAAAGCCCTTCACAAAAAAAAAATTGTTTTTTTTTTTGTCACTTCAGGTGCTTTATTAGGTTCCACTGCAAGGCTGGGGTCAAAGTAATGCTAGTCCAGACCCAACCAACACACACCTGTGAGCCCAAAGCAGAGCTGAAGCGGAGCACCTATGTCCCAGGAGCAGACTGTCGGAGGTGGGCTGGGTGGGCAGGGCCAGACCTCAGCAGCTGCTGTGTTCAACTGGACAGGTGTGCACTCAGGCACCCCTTTCTGGGGTATGTACCTGCTGGCATGAGCGAGGGGGTCCACAAGGGATGCAAGGTGGGGCCAGAGCCACTCCTGTGTAAGAGGTGAGCAGCCAGGCTTAACCCTCGGCAGGCTCACCCCAGCTGGTAGCATTAGCTTGACTCTCTTTGGACAATAAAATAAAGTGCATTACTCAACAAAGAGTAACTCAAAACCATAAGCAGAGAAATCACAACACTTTTTCTTTAGCTAAAAGACAAAAGAAAACATGAACTATGTGGATGCCAGAACTTTAGAGCAAGAAAAATATTGGTTGAAGAGGAAAGGAAATGAACTTAGTGGATAATGACAACAGTGAGTGGGAGAGGAGACCATGGTAGCAGTGGCAGCAAGGTTTCTGGAAGCCTGCACTGTCCAGCGCCTGCCCAAGCTGGGCAGCAGTGCTGGCATGAATGGCCTTGGACACAGTGAAGAACCAGCACAGCATTTAGTCTCACGGCTGACCTCAGGGCGCAGGGGAGACAGAGGAGGACAAAGCCCCAGCCGAGGCCGCTCCCAGAGGCAGGCCACACAGCCTGCCTTGGCACCCGCACACTGGCAGACAGACTGCTGACCTGGCTATTTCCCACCTCCTCTGCCCCGCAACGGCCCTGGCCTGACGTAACCCAAGAGGCTCATAGCCCCAGGAGCAAATGAAGTATCGGCCTTCATGAGATCCCACAGCAAACGGACCTAGGGTGCCGATCACAGCCCCACCACAGCACAGAAAGCAGGCCAGGTTTCTGTCCACAGGACCAAGGATGGGGAGGACTTCGTGGGGTTGCTACTCCAGTACTCAATATATGCTGTGCTTTTGCTACAAATACAGTGCTATCAAAAAAATTACACATCAGCCACAGTAAGAGATTAACAATAACAATAAATCAAATAAAACTACACTGTAAGTTCCGTGAATGTGGTATCCCTCAAAGAGGATTATGTGAACACAACTACTGTAGCAGTCAATCCTAAAATGCTACCAATTAACTAAAATGCTATGGTACTAATTAACTATGGAGTGGGCAGCACAGACAGTGCGTACCAGACGAGACACAGCTAGATGTTACCGTATTGCATCACACTACTTAGACAGGACATGCAATTTAAAATTCATCAACTGGGGGCTGGGGATTTAGCTCAGTGGTTCTGCTGCCTGCTTCACAAGTGCAAGGTCCCAAGTTTGATCCCTGGTACCAAAAAACCAAAACAAGACAAAAAATTCATGAACTGTTTGTTTCTGGAATTCTCCATTTAATATTTTCAGACTGCAGTGGGCAGTAGGGAAATGAAAATATGGAAAGTGAAACCACACAGAAGGAGAGCTTTGCCATATCAAATGGCAGTATGTCCATCTTACCAAACTGAAGTAAAAGGTCATCTTCTAACACCGGCTTCAAATACTCTTCTTTCTCCCAAGGCACTGGGTTGTATATGGAATTCATATACTCAACTGTAGGATGCTGGATGCAAAATTAATTGCATGTTTATTCATTGCATGTAATCATGAATCTATCTGATAAAAGCTAGGAAAATTATACAAAGAAATCATATCTGGATTACACAAAATCATTGTTATCTCTGTTTAAGGGATCTAAAAACCTGTCATTCTAAATGGTTTCAATGTAGTTTTCTACTGTTTAGATTCAGGGAAAGTGACAATAACACTCATTTAAATGGAACAAAAAAAAAGAACAGTATTTTAAAAAATAGAAAAAGAGCAAAAAAGTATTTGCAGTCACATTAGAAATTACACCTGATTTTAAAATAACACCATCAGCATTTCCCCTTATCTGACTCTGAACTACTTTTCACTCAGCACTGATTTTGTCTCAGTCAGAATCATACTTGCAACTATGTGTACTCCTTTATATGGTGTTTTACGGTGTTCTAGTGCCTAACACCCAGAATTCCTACTGTACGATGAATGTCACATTTAAATAGTTCCTCATATTCCTTTAAATAATCAGTGCAATGAGAGGCACTGTGGCATTTCTTGTATTTCTAAATCAAATTATAAATTAAGCTTCTGACTTACCTTAAGTCTAATAAAATTTATTAGTTTAATGTATCCATAAAATTCAAGTCCTAAGGGGAGAAAAAAGGACAATTCACCTATTTTAATATGAGTTCTGTTTAAATGAGCAGTTCTTTAAAGGGTTCTCTGATTAGATAATAAAATATTTCTAAACTCTAAACTGCAACCAATATTTTAAATTTTTATTTTTTAAGAATTAGAGGGCTGGGGATTTAGCTCAGTAGTTCTGCTGCCTGACTTGCAAGTGCAAGGACCGGAGTTCGATCCCCAGTACCAAAAAAAAAAAAAAAAGAATTAGAAATTATAATTTTGATACTTTTGAGTATTTTATCCGAGAAAACCATAAATGACAAATTTTTAAGTGCTTTTCTTCTATTTCTAAAGAAAAATGGAAAAAACTAATTTTGGAATTCAATCAGAACTATACAGATCTGTAAAATTAGGTCCTCGATTTTATCAAGTATTTGGCAGTTAATATTAAAGACTAAGTTTCTAAATGTCTAATTTTTACAGTGCCTATAAAAATATAATTTTGTCAAGACTGAACATACAAAGTCTACTAGCTTTTCCATGAAGTTGAATGATGCAAATTAAAAAACAATGAAGCGTATCATATCTTTCCAGAAATGAAGCACCATTTAAGACAAAGGAAAGAAGTAATATATTGGTTATTATTTGTCATGAGACAAATTGGATATTATTCATCATGGGAAACTGGTTATTATTGAGAAATGATGATGTTTTAATAGCATACAAAAACTTGACTCATAAGTGAAAAATCACGTTCAATTCAATTTAAAATACAACTTTAAAAATGGGAGAAAAAATGAGGCTGTGGCTTACAAAAGTAGTTGCACCTGAATTTACGATTTATAAACATATCACATATTTATCTGAGAACTAAACATCTGTCTAGTATTTGCCATTCCCCAACAATATCTGTTCTACATGTTAATAAATACAGGGACCAAAAGGCCAAGTCTATGCTTAGTTAATTTTAGTTGAATAGTATAACTCTTCTACATCCATTTGAAGAAGTAGAAAGCTTTACCTAAGTTTAAACGCAAGTCAACAGAAACACCGTCTGAATAATTTGCATACTATCTTAACTCCCTCAGCCCACTTCCCAATCAAACTTACGAATTTTTTTTTTTGAGACAGGGTCCTACTCTGTAGTCCGGGCTGGCCTTGAACTCTTGGTGATCCTCCTGCCTCTGCCCCTCAAATGCAGGGATTACAGGCCTGTGTTGCCATGCTCAGCTTATAAAACTCAGTCTTGTAGACCTCAAAGTTCACATTTATTATTATGCTCTCCCGACTGTCTTTTTTTTTTATAAGGATCCACCACCTCTCCCAAATGCACTCACATGCCAGTTTCCCCTTTTATATTGTGAAGCCATTGGGCCGGGGGTCTAGCTCAGTGGTTTCGCCGCCTGCCTTGCAAGCAGAAGGACCCGAGTTCAATCCCCGGTACCAAAAAAAAAAAAAAGAAAGTAAATTGTGAAGCCATTGTAAGCTTAAATACAGTGAATTTTGCCTAGAACAGTGATTTAATAATCTTTCCACAAAGGCTAACTTGCCAAAAACATTCCCATAAGAGAAGTTGTTACAGTACGTCTCACTATATTGCACTTGTATAAAAAAAAGGGCCTGAAAATTTGAACTTAAACTTCCCAAATAAAACTATCTTTATTCTACGAAATACTCACCATGTTTATGGACCATGCTATCAATATTAAATTGATGCTCTGACTTACAGTGTGAAAATGTCTCTTCAGCAGATGTGAATAACCTGAAAAATCAAAGAACAGCTTTAGGGAATAACCCCATAAGTCTAAATCTTGACTTCATGTTAAATACACTTTTTGTTTTTCACTCAGCTGATTTCTAGTTTTAAAAGAAGTATATATAGATGAAAGACTGAAACCCAGCACTTCCAGTGAGAAGTTTACAACATCACATTCATATTTAACACTTAAATGAACTACCCTTTAAATACCAATGAATTTATCAAAAGGCTCATAGGAAAGACAGCTCCCTTTATTTTCTGCATCTCATGTCATGAAAGCTCTTCCATTAGATTCCCCCCTGCCAAGTGTCAACTCTTTTTCAGACGTTTTGAAGCGGCACGGCTCAAACTGCTTTTAGAAATAAAGGATAAAATGTAATTTCACAGCTGGCACATCCCCAAAGTGCTGTCTTTCCAAGGTGATCTTGCAGTGTTCCCACTGGACTTGCATGACAGACACTGGGAGGCCCAGGCCTCTTTATTATGTGATCTGCACAACTGAAGGACACCTAAGGTAAGAATACACCGCATAGGTGATGCATACCTCTTCTATATGGCAAGCACATGTGTGGTAGTTTTCAAATGTTCACCAAGATAGATGATTTGCAGTATCAGAAAGGCCTGCACGATAGATGTTCCATAAGTACTTTACGGTAACTTGCCTCTGCACCGACACTCTCTCTCTCCAATGAGGCCACACAGGAGAACACTGATCACCACCCATCAATGCCAAGCCAATCAGTACAAGGCAGATGGACAAGGTTCATTAAAGCAACAATGGCCAAGCCAATCAGGCCCACTTGCCCACAGCAGTCAAGTCCTGGTTTTTTCAGACTAAATGGGAGACTTTTAAGTGGAAAGAATGTGTTTGTGAATAAAAACCACAGCTTTCTGACCTTGAACAAGATACTGCCTCTTTTTCCCAAAAGTGAAAAAAGGTATCAATTCCTTACTGACAAGAGGGGAGGCCCTACTTAAGATCAACTTAAGACGTTACACCTGAGCAGCTCTCTACTGCTAAAAGACTTGTAATAGTGAGGACCACCCCCCCCCCATGGGCACGCCTACCAGCCACCAGCTTGGTCTCCCCCAGGCCTCTGGCCTCTTGGCTGTGCAGCTACTTGGTTCCACACTACAGAGGCACAGGGAGAAATAAAAACCATTATCCTGACTGCAGAAGTGAACAACAGAGAAAGGGCCACTCTCAGGCTCCCTGATGAAAACAAGCCCACTGGAAAAGTGAAGAGAATCTCTTCAATAAAGGTACACCAGACCACCGTGATTGGTAAGTTGGAGGGATCATTACCTCCCATTAGAACCTGGACTACCTTCAGGGAAAGGCAGCTGGAACCTGCAATAGAACCTTGCACAGTTCAACCCTACAGGAGGACAGGGAGCTTGACTTGGGACTTGTAGCCAGAAAACTGCCTGAATCTCTCAGGTCTGCGACTAGCTAAGACTCACTGACTTATAACTGCACATTGATGCCCACATCGTCTACTGTGACAGCAGAGACATACCTTGAAGGAGGCCCTTCATTTGCATCTTTTATTTGTTATTTTCAAAATGACCACTATTTTTTTTTTGCTCTTATTTTTAATTATTTTTCTTCTTCTTTAAAAAAATTTTTTCTCTTCTTTCTTTCTCTGCTCTTTTCTTTCTCTCTCTGCCTCGCTCCCTTGCTGTCACACATTGTACTTCATCTCCCCTTTGTGGTCTTGTTCTGGCCCTAACTTGTATTTCTTCATTTGTCTTTTCTTCTCTTTCCTTCTCTTGCCTGTGCCCTCTGACCTCACTGCTAACCCTCCCCTATCCTTCTACCTACCTATGCCTCCTTCCCCAACTCCTTCTAATGCCCCATCCTGAAGGGTAAAGTTGCTATATTGAAGATTTATCCACTATAAATATATGTTGGGTTGACCCTAGATTTTGATTTAATTCACACAGTTAAAGGTCATAGATCAATAACTATCACAAATTGTCATTTTTCTAATAGGTACTTGATGCTATTGTGTGACTGATTGTATCACTTGGGCTAAGGTGTTGTGATTGGTCTAACCAGTTGTCCTTTCTGGTATAATGAAAATGAGACAGCTTAAGAGCCCTTAGAGACTCAAAACCTAAAGACCAGCTATATCTGGAAGACATCTCTAAGAAGCAATCATTCCATAAGGGTTCTAAATACAAGCAACAAAGAAATGTACAATAAGGAATTTCGAAGTATCAACCCAGGAACTAAACCAAGGACAGTACTAAAAACAAAAATGAGAAGGCATTTAAGCAAGGCACAAATTCAGACTTCCACCCCACAAAAGGCAAATTCTGGGGGAAAGGCAGTGGAAAAGTCTGATAATCAGCCACCTGAACACCCTGAACTCATACCTCAGGAAGTAACAAAACAGATGAATGAGGCTCTAGAAAAATTCAAAGCAGAAATAATCTCCCAGATGACTACAGAGATGGTGAGCAGAGTGAAAGACATGATTAGAGGCTCTAGAACAGGAACAGATAAAAAGTAGATGAGATCAGAAACATGCTGGAAGCCATGAATGTTCAGCATAAGAAAGAAATAGAAACCATGATCACCCAACATAAGAAAGAAATGGAATCCATGAAACAGTTTCAAACAGATATTCAGGAGATTAAAAACTCCACTGAAAGCATGCAGAGCAGATTAAGAAAATCTGAAGATAGAATATCAGATATAGAAGACAGGATTGAGGTTAAGGACCATGAAAACAGAGATTTCTTAAAAATAGTAAGGGACCACAAGAAATCAATCCAGCAGCTGCTAGATAATTCAAAGAGAATAACTTAAGACTGACAGGAGTCCACGAAAAAAATAGGAGAAAGTACAATTGACATAAAAAAACTGTTCACAGAAGTAATAGTAGAAAACTTCCCAGACAGAGGGGGAGAATTGGACATACAGATAAGTGAGGCATATAGAACTCCATCTAGTCATGATCAAGAGAAATCTACACCTAGACATATAATAGTCAAGATCCCAGAAACCCAGGAGAAGAACAAAATCCTATAGGCAGTTAGAGAAAAGAAACAAATCACCTATAAAGGAAAGCCCATCAGAATCATGGCAGACTTCTCAACACAAACCCTCAAATCAAGAAGAGCCTGGAGTGAAGTACTTCAAGCCCTAAAAGAAAATAACTTCCAACCTAGACTGCTGTATCCTGCAAAATTATCTTTCAAAATCGATGGGGAAATCAGATACTTCTACGACAAAGAAAACCTGAGAAATTTCATGAACACCAAACCAGCACTCCAAACAATTCTAAGCGATACCCTAGAAAAAGACAATGAAGGTCACAATTCCATGAGGCCCAACAGAGGGAAGCCACCAGGCAAGGTAAGAAATTAAAAGAAAAGGGGCGGGGGGAGAAATAAAAGAGCCAACAACAGTAAAACATCACGGCAAGGATGAATCAGTATATATCAATTATAACTATCAATGCTAATGGTCTCAATTCACCAATCAAAAGAAACAGACTGACAGAATGGATTAAGAAGCAAAATTCAGCAATATGCTGTATACAAGAAACACACCTAACTCAAAAAGAAATTTATAAACTGAAAGTAAAACGATGGAAAACAGTTCTCCATGCCACAGGAACCCAGAAAAAAGCAGGAGTAGCAATCTTATTTGCAGACAAAGTAGATTTCAAACCAAAACTAATTAAGAGCGACAAAGATGGTCACTACATCTTTATGAAGGGAACAATCCAAGAGGAAGAGATGACAATCCTAAATATATATGCACCAAATATGAATGTCCCCAACTATACAAAACAAATATTAATGGACATGAAAAACCAAATACACACTAATACAATTGTAGTGGGGGACCTCAATACCCCACTATCACAAATAGACAGATCATCTAGACAAAATTTAACAACAAAATTCTAGAGCTGAACCAAGCTTTTGAACAAATGGACTTAATAGATGTTTACACAGCCTTCCACCCCACAAAATCAGAATACACATTCTTTTCAGCTGCACATGGGTCATTCTCCAAAATAGACCACATGCTAGCTCATGGGACATGCCTAAGTGAATGTAAAAGAAGTGAAATTACCCCCTATATTATCAGACTATATTGCAATAAAATTGGAGATTAATAACATAAGAAACCTCAAAACTCCCACAAACACATGGAAATTGAGTAACACCCTCCTGAACAACCAATGGATCACAGAGGAAATTAAAGAAGAAATTAGACAGTTTCTACTAGTAAATGACAATGCCAGTACAACATACAGGAATCTATGGGACACAATGAAAGCAGTTCTACGTGGGAAATTCATAGCAGTGAATGCCTGTATTAGGAAAACAGAGAGATCTCAGATAAATAACCTAATGCAGAACCTCAAGCTCC